TAAAGAAATACATTTATAAAAACAAATATAGTTAATTTGTAATCAAATTTAACCCTGAATTTATTTACTTTTTTCCTTTATGTATTATATTATTTTATGTATTTATTTTTTACATTTATTTTTATTCTTTTTAACTTTTATTTACTTATTCTCATATTTATTTTTTTATTTTTCAATGTATTTATTCATGTGTTTATTTTTTATTTTATTTTTTTATTCCCACCTGTATTTATTTCCAGATTTATTTATTAATTTATTTCTTTTTACTTTCCGTGTGCAACATGGAAATGAGGGAGGCGGTCCTTGCTGAGCTCCGCTAAAACATGCAGTGCATTTACCGTACCTACCAGCAACCCGCCAAAATAAAAGCTTGCTCATTTTAGGTTTGAAAATGTTAAAAAACTCATATAAAAAAAATAAAAAAGTAAAATAAAATGTAAATATTAGCATTGTATTTTTAAGTGTACTGTAAAATAATTGTATTTTTATTTGATAGTTATTTTTAATTTTTAAATATAATAGTATTGTCAAACTATTGTAGTGCTATTGTAAATAAAGTGAAATAATACTATTATGAATTATTTTATTTTTTTATCCACCTTTTTTTCCATAGGTGTGGGTGTGGCCATTTGTAAATTTTATGGGTCTGGCTTCCGGTGTCATCCACTTCCAGCTATTTTTAGCTGTACAAAACAGCTTGTTTTGCTGCTTGGTATTGCAAATTGGTGTGTTTTATCATATTATTTTAATGTATTATCTTAATTATGAACACACTGGTTTGTAGTGCGTACACACACACAACCAAGTCAATGTAAAGTCAAACACAAGAGTCATGCGAAGCGCTGATTTTTTTCAAACCAGCTGTCCCAATCTTCCAATACTGCATGACGTTCGAAGCTTCAAACGTCATCAATCACGTGGTATTGTCATTTCAATACAAGCATCGGCACAGTGTGTGATACAATAGTGTTTTGAAAACTGCGTTGGAGCATCAGAGCCTCAGTATCAATCGTCCCAGCACTATTTTTAGCTGAACAAAACAGCAAATTTTGCTGCTTGATATTGCAAATTGGTGTGTCTTACCATGTTATTTTAATGTATTATCTTAATTATGAACACACTGGTTTGTAGTGCAAACAGTTTTATCGTTTACTGCACGTTGCAATTCTCGGGGTCGTCATGTGACACACAGCAGCCAAAATAGCACTCGTGTTTTATTTAGTTCGCCCATTAAAATCACTGAAGCTGTTTACACTGTGAAATGAATATCTTACTTAGATTCATACACTCATCTGTAGTTTGTTGTTTCTAAGGAGAGAATTCGCCAGAAAGAGGTATTCAGACAGCCAGTGAGTGAAGAAAACACTGGCATTTTAGCGATGACTCATCTGAACACCTCTGATAGGTCATTGCATTCATAAGCTCAACAGCATCATGTGTGATTGGTTATAATGTACTGTAAAAACGCGTATGTCTCTGCCTCAGCGCTAGCCAGCGAACGCAGATTTGAATTTTAGAAGCTGATATGACGCGCTGAACGATTTAATCATGCTGGTGTGATTGTATCAAATATAGAAAATATTATTCGGCTATTTTTTGTCTTTTGGAAGCTGCATTCAAAATCCACTTGGCACATGCCCCCTCACTTTGAATAGGCATGAGGCCTCTGAATCACACTACCAGGACGTGGTACCGTGAATCACGTGAATGAATGCAAGCAGAGTCGGTCTTCCTCAGGGGTTATCAATATGTGTTCGACTTGAAGCAGCGCTGCGCAGAACGATCAGTGTGTGACATCAAAGTACCACGAGGGCGATTCGAAAGCATAAGGCTCTCTAATAGCTCTCAGGGTACTTCAGGCGCTTTAGCACTGGAGGAACCTTTTCATAGTCATAGTTCAACATTAAAAGAGGCAGGGGAGGCACAGCTTCCCCATAATTTTGAGGTGAAAATGGGAGGAGGACGATTTAATGTTAATAAAATTCACAATTCATTTCAGTTCATGTCTCAGAATGTGTATTTTTTGTTTGTAATTTCACAGTGGTAATAAAATAACGTGAAAGCGCCGCTTTTCTATCGCGAATGTGCTGAATCTGCTGATGTAATTGCAACCGCTAATGACAAAGAAGGGTAGGGGGAGGCCGGGGGAGCGCGGAGCTCTCGTGCCTCCGTTGGTAACAAAAATTAGCCAATCACCATCGAGTGTTCACTTTCAGCGCTGATGAGTGTTGAGAAAAGAACCCTTGCAAGGGAGGCTAGCCTCCCTTCTGATATCAACCAATCATCAAAGAGACGTAAATTACGTGATATTAGTTTGAACGGCTGCCGCTGCGCTGATAATGTACCAAGTACGTATGACGAGTAGTGATATTGAATATTTGATCGCCAACAGATTTACCAAGCAAATAATAATAATAATAATCGGCAGGGATCCCAGACCAATACAATTAGTGTGCCTCCTCTATTTTAATACCCACGAGCCGCCACTGGTTCCTATAACTATTGGCGGAAGTTCCCGCTTTTGATTTTTGATTTCACACCGATCGGTCTGTGCAGCGCTGCTTCAAGTCGAACACACCTAATAATGTGTGGGGCACGAGAGCATGTCTGGGGAGGCACGCAGAGTAGTAGAATAATAATTAATTATTGATTATTAATTTGAATCAGTACATTATAACGAAAACAATACCTTAAAAATGAAAAGAAGTACGTTTTTGCGATCACACCATTTAAAACTGGTAAACTCCTGGAAAGTCGAAGGATCCAGCAAGCGAATTCAAACAGTAAGTTCAAAACAGCGCTATATGCAGAGAAAACCCGACCAATTTCACCAGAGCGTGTTTTATAATGGATGCTGGCTGAAGGTGTTTTAGATTATACAGTGGTCAGCATTTTAGCGATTCTGAATGGATGCGTATAGTAGTACAGTCAGGTCAAGGCAGGAGCTTTAGTGGTCTTTGGCGTCTCCCTGTGGTCCTGTTTGGTATCGCAGCTTGACTTGTGCTTATTTTTATTGAAAACGTTTATTTAATTATTGATTGTTAAAATTGATCAAAACTAAAAACTCATCTCTTTCGTCACCATCTGACCTCATCCTAAAAAAAAAAAACTTTGCTTCTCTTTACTTAATCCCCAATCTAGGTTGTACTTATTTGAACAATGCCTGAAACTTGGCATTATGAGCACTTCCTGTGTCTATTTGCCTCTTTAAGATGAATCGCTTGATGTATTCCCCGATTGTAAGTTGCTTTGGATAAAAGCATCTGCAAAATTAATAAATGTAAATGACTGATTGATTGATTGATTGATTGATTGATTGATTGATTGATTGAGGAACTATACATACATAGTGAATTATAAAATTAATTATTTATTTATTTAATATTTATA